TTTGTGTACTCTGGGGAAGCGGTGCAGCCATGGGTGACACAAGGGTGGAGAAAGGAGAAAATGAAAAGAGGCAACCTAACCCATCGGATCCCGACCTCCATTAACGAAACTTTAATCAAACTCAATAATAATAAAAAAAACTAGGACGCTGGAACTGAATTGGCATACACATTGACTCAATTTCGGCATTTGTATCCTTCGTTGCAATAAAATCTGTCGTAGGAAAGAATTTATACAGATCGCTCCTTCACATGTCGCTTTTGAAATAATAGATTAATATATATTCCATGGTGCTCTGGAGACTCTCCAGGCTGTGATATGGTATGGCTACATGATGCGTAGACGCCTTCAGAATCGCTACGCAAAATGTAATAGATAGGAGAAATCCTCTATAAAACCCTATACTACATAAAATAAGATGCACAAAATACAAAAATAAATATCGATAAAAATGTTAACAAACTCTTTACTCCTTTTACTTAGACCTTTTATTAACAATAATAATAATACTAATAACAATATGAACGTATATTATTAATAATCGCTTATGTGTCCGTTGACGCGTGTTTTTATCCACGCCAAATATACCAACCTAAAACACTTCGGAGTAAAATACACACAATAATATGTAATTTTTTTGAATTGACTTTTGCTTTCATTGTATAACCCGCATTCGAGATTCCCCTTTTCTCCATGTAGGAGAACCTTTATCAACGCATGGCGTTGTGTGTGGGTCATTTCCACTCTTTCCATGGGCAAGATCATGCGCACAACGTATGTGTCCTCCTCCCTCTGTCATTTGCTGGCTAGAATAACACATTTCCCTCGCCTTGCAATGTGAAAAAGGTGAATACTTCTTAAAAGCGTTATAAATTAACAATTCGGCGTCCGACATAAAATTGCCTCATGGCGCGCCTAAAATCACTGAAATCCAACACGTTTGGGTTGTACCTATGTTAAACGTTAGTTGTGTTATAGCGTGGCTAGTGCAAAATCGCATGGGAATGCACAAAAATAAAAAAATCGTAAGTTATAAGTCCTGGTTTTAACGAACAAGAGGAAAGGTGATAGAAATAAACCATGATCCGCGCGTCTGCTTTGCTCGCGAATTTCTATCAAATTAGATGCACATAAGTAAAAAAGAAATGGTCTGTAATGCTGCATGTCAAGGATTAAGAAACAAAAAGTAGAATATTATATAGAAGATGGTGAAAAAAAAAGGTCGTTTATTCCAATGCGGTTGACGTGCAAACTAACGTATATTATATATATATATAGATATATGTATATATATGATTTGCGCCAATCAATCCTTTCCGACATTTTCGCACTTCGTGCATCCTCCCCCCC